TCTTCAGACAACAAGTCATACAAGTCTTCAGACAACAACAAGACAAAACAAACACCTTTCAGACAACAAGACATGCCAGTCTGCAGTCAACAGTGAGACATACTATTATTCACCTGCCCCGCCGCGCGACGGACCTAGCAAGCCAGCAGTGGTTTCATTGACCGCTACTACACAAGAAATACTGAATTATTATAGACTCTTGCGGACAGCGGGCTGGCAACGCAAAGAACGACGAAACATAACAATGTTTGGCTACTGAGTAGGAGAATTTATATATCTAGGAAGCGTAATTACGAATGATGGCAGACTCGATAGAGAGATAGAAGCCAAAGTACAGAAGGCAAGTACTGTCACCTACCAGTTAGCCCATTGCTTAGACACCCAAATGTCTCCCTTGCAGCCAAATAGGAAACGATTAATATTATCTTCATCCATACCTTATGCTATAAATTCCAACTAAACGAACGAACGAACTAACGACAGAAAATAACTGCACTGTCTTTGTAATAATAAGACGTTTTGACAGAACAGCATATATGTTATAACTTCTAGACGTGGCTTTTTTAAAAAATGAGGCACTTTCTACTGTTGACAAATCAAGCAGGAAAATGTTCCAGTAAACAGTATTAGCAGCAAAGATCTATTTCATTCAGTTTATTCAAATATTGACTCAGTCAGACAAGTAAAAAAACCTTTAATCCAAGGTTCTTGTGGGTAATCAAAGATGACATAAAGGGTAACTGACCGCTCCTGACATGCGTTCTATCGGTGGGTCTTAACCTGTGCCAGTTTATAACTTCTCTATGTTCTTCGACTCTTCCTCCTTATCTGCCCTTTTCTGCAACTGTCCTCCAAATGTTTGACATCGTGGCACTAGAAATATTTGGCTGACATCCTGCCATAAATATCTTCTTGACATGATGACAAAGAGAAACATTGACCTGATATCATGGCGTGTAGAAACATCTTCCTGACATCGTGGGGTGTAAAAACATCTGTCTTACATCGTAGCGTGTAAAAACATATTCCTGACATCGTAGCGTAGCATGAGACAACATCTGCCTGACATCGTGGCGTGTAGAAACATCTGCCTGACATCGTGACATGAGACAACACCTACCTGACATCTTGACGTGTAAAAACATCTACCTGACATAGTGGCATGAGACTACATCTGCCTGACATCGTGACACCTGCCTGACATCGTAGCAGGAGACAACATCTGCCTGACATCATGGCGTGTAGAAACATCTGCCAGACATCGTGACATGAGACAACACCTACCTGACATCTTGACGTGTAAAAACATCTACCTGACATAGTGGCATGAGACTACATCTGCCTGACATCGTGGCATGATACAACATCTGCCTGACATAGTGGCGTGTAAAAACATCTGTCTGACATCGTGGCTTAGAGAAACATCTGCCTGACATAGTGGCGTGTAAAAACATCTGTCTGACATAGTGGCGTGTAAAAACATCTGCCTGACATAGTGGCGTGTAAAAACATCTGCCTGACATAGTGGCGTGTAAAAACATCTGTCTGACATCGTGGCTTAGAGAAACATCTGCCTGACATTGTGGCTTAGAGAAACATCTGCCTGACATCGTGGCATGATACAACATGTGTCCGACATCGTGACGTGTACAAACATCTGCTTGACATCGTAGCAGGAAACAACATTTGCCTGACATTGTGGCATGAGACAAAATAAAATTTGTCTGACATCAGGGCGTGTAAAAACATCTTCCTGACTTCATGGCATGAGACTACATCTGCCTGACATCGTGGCATGAGACTACATCTGCCTGACATCGTGGCATGAGACTACATCTGCCTGACATCGTGGCATGAGACTACATCTGCCTGACATCGTGGCATGAGACAACATCTGCCTGACATCGTGGCATGAGACTACATCTGCCTGACATCGTGGCATGAGACAACATTTGCCTGACATCGTGACATGAGACAACATCTGCCTGACATCGTGGCATGAGACTACATCTGCCTGACATCGTGGCATGAGACAACATCTGCCTGACATCGTAACGTGTAACAAGATCTGCCTGACATCGTGGCATGTAGAAACATCTGCCTGACATCGTGGCATGTAGAAACATCTGCCTGACATCGTGGCATGTATAAACATCTGCCTGACATCGTGGCATGTAGAAACATCTGCCTGACATCGTAGCATGTAGAAACATCTGCCTGACATCGTGGCATGTAGAAACATCTGCCTGACATCGTGGCATGTAGAAACATCTGCCTGACATCGTGGCATGAGACAACATCTGCCTGACATCGTGGCATGAGACAACATCTGCCTGACATCGTGGCATGAGACAACATCTGTATGACATCGTGGCATGAGACAACATCTGACTGACATCGTGGCATGAGACAACATCTGCCTGACATCGTGGCATGAGACAACATCTGACTGACATCGTGGCATGTAGAAACATCTGCCTGACATCGTGGCATGAGACAACATCTGCCTGACATCGTGGCATGTAGAAACATCTGCCTGACATCGTGGCATGTAGAAAAATCTGCCTGACATCGTGGCATGAGACAACATCTGCCTGACATCGTGGCATGTATAAACATTTGCCTGACATCGTGGCATGTAGAAACATCTGCCTGACATCGTGGCATGTAGAAACATCTGCCTGACATCGTGGCATGAGACAACATCTGCCTGACATCGTGGCATGAGACAACATCTGCCTGACATCGTGGCATGAGACAACATCTGCCTGACATCGTGGCATGAGACAATATCTGACTGACATCGTGGCATGAGACAACATCTGCCTGACATAGTGGCATGAGACAACATCTGACTGACATCGTGGCATGTAGAAACATCTGACTGACATCGTGGCATGTAGAAACATCTGCCTGACATCGTGGCATGAGACAACATCTGCCTGACATCGTGGCATGTATAAACATTTGCCTGACATCGTTGCATGTAGAAAAATCTGTCTGACATCGTGGCATGAAGAAACATCTGCCTGACATCGTGGCATGAGACAACATCTGCCTGACATCGTGGCATGAGACAACATCTGCCTGACATCGTTGCATGTAGAAACATCTGCCTGACATGGTGACACGAGACTACATCTGCCTGACGTCATGGTACGAGACAATATCTGTTTGACATCGTGGCTAGCCCAGGTTCCTGTGAGATTTATGGGTGAGTGCTTGTGGACTGACAGGTTGAGAATCCCTGTGTAAAATCAATGAAACAGCCTTAAGGACTACTGGGTCAAAAACGATTTAACCCGCTTAGAAAAGAGACGGTATTGGCTAAATATCTGAAAATAAAACAGAAGATATCGTCAGACTGTCTGCGTTAAGCGCTGTACCACTTGCTTTTCTGGGAGCCAGTCGTTTGAGTTGGCAAGCACCAGATCGTCTGCTGAGTCAGCTGTAGAGAATACTATGCTTCTAGGTTGACAAAACTGAAAATGTTCGTGAAATAAAGGCAGTCAGCATGGTTTTGATTACAACATACACCGAGTGCCTGTTTGTTCTGTAGAAATATTGTAAAGCACCACATACTCGATGCATCAAAGCATTACGTTATACGTTACTTCATCTTCTTTAGTAGCTTTAATTTTAATTATTACATAGTCTTGTGTTTAAAGTTGTCTTTTTTTTTCTTCATTTTCTCGTTTACTGCTTCGGATGTTAAGGGAGATAACAGGTTCGGCTTCTTGCTCTTCTTTTTTTTTTTTTTTAAACTGTTGAGTATTGGTTTCAAAATATTATTGTTGCTATTCTCAATAAGTACCTTGTCGACTAGCGTAGGCGATCATACCTCTCCACAATTTGCGATCCGCCACTGTGTGTATCAGTTCGTGTGTTGATACCCCTGCATGCCATGACAAAGGGCTGTCAAAAATATTTTCACTCTGTCTTTTCCTTCTTTCATTGTGCAACCCTTTTCAGTAGTTATAACATGTTTCAGTTTTCCTCTTCTCATAACGTTAAAAAAAATGGTTGTCTTTCTGATGTTAATGATAAGTTGTCTTCAAGCATTCGCCTCTTTCATAACATCTGGGTTGCTCATCAGAGCTGTCCAAGGAAAAAGGGTGCTTCAGTAAAACCACATCCTTAAGGCCTCAGCTTATGCTGCTATATATAAATGCATTTATTTTTATTCTAAAGCCAGTCAGAATCTCAGTGAAAATATTTAGTGACGTTCTCTGAGGTTTGAGATTTTAGGTTCTGAACAACGGATCAACATCATTGCACACGGGTGTGACCCATAAGTGCTCCGTTCTTTGTCTAACTCAAGTCTGAGTCCGAAGAAGCTCATCACAGTGCACAGGCTCTGTAGCCCCGGCGAGGATGCTGAAATACTTTGGACAGATTTTAAACTCAAAGTTTTGTCTGGGCAGCGCCGTTAGGCTACTCTTTTCGACTTCCAACTGCCAAGAGATTTTTTTACGTGCGCAGCAATACACACGGGCGTCTGATCTCACTACTCAGAGACTAAGAGGAATTACTAGAAGTCCAAGTCCACGTGAAAAAATCCCAGCCATTACTGGGAATTGAAACCGGAACCTCTTGCACTCTAGGCGGACCACGCAGCCCCCTGAGGTTCTCTTCACCAGGTAAAGTAGTCCCATAGCTATATTCTAGTCTATCGTTAAACAATTTACCTCACTCTCTGAAGGCAACAGAAACGGACATTGTTGTTGCAAAAAACTGGAGCTTTAGGTTATAATTGTGACTTAATTTATGTGCGCCATGTAAAATGGCTGTAACATTGCTCGCCACCAAGTAACTCTTTAAAGGACTTCTGCAATGTTAATGCGATCAAAGGCGACAGAATAAAATGCTGTCTCGACCGACGCAGAAGTCGTCTACCGGCCAGCCAATGGGCCACCTGGTCACCGATGTTATAGACCAATCATAGATCAAAATCATTTATACTCAGGGCCACAAGACATTCCGTGTGAGCTCCAGAAACTATGGGTGTAGATGATCTTATATTTGTAATCATCATAAGCCTAACACTTTCTGTGACGGTTATCTTCAATATTGTCTTGCTTGTGGTCATTCTGATAACGCCCAAGATGTTGACCCCAACCAACATTCTCATCTGTAACCTAGCGGTCAGCGACATCTTTCTCTCGGGGATGGTCACTTCCCAGAACGTGCATGACATTTCACATGCCAGCTTGGATTACTTTGAAGGTAAATATGTGTGTTGAATGTAGCTTCTGTTTCAAGCAGGATAATTGGAATGTGTTGTGTTTGTTGTCTGGCTGTTGTTGTTATTACAAATAGTAGTCGTAGTAATAGTGGTATAGTAGCAGTAGTGGTGGCGTTGGTAGTTGTAGTTGTTGTTGCAGCAGCAGCAGTAATAGTAGTAGTAGTAGTAATAGTAGTAGTAGTAGTAGTAGTAGTAGTAGTAGTAGTAGTAGTAGTAGTAGTAGTAGTAGTAGTAGTAGTAGTAGTAGTAGTAGTAGTAGTAGTAGTAGTAGTAGTAGTAGTAGTAGTAGTAGTAGTAGTAGTAGTAGTAGTAGTAGTAGTAGTAGTAGTAGTAGTAGTAGTAGTAGTAGTAGTAGTAGTAGTAGTAGTAGTAGTAGTAGTAGTAGTAGTAGTAGTAGTAGTAGTAGGACTAGTAGTAGCAGCAGCAGCAGCAGCAGTGAATAGTATCATAATCAGTCTTTACGACTGTTCGTTTTCCAGCACTCATCTATATTCCGGAAAGAGAAAAGGCAGAAAGAACGCTAGCTAAACAGGATCAAAGCGGCGATTGCCACTGCATGGAGCATGCCATTCCACATCTTTCTTGAAATGCTTTGTGAGTTTGATCAGTCACGACGTGTGTGTGTGTGTGTGTGTGTGTGTGTGTGTGTGTGTGTGTGTGTGTGTGCGTGTGTGTGCCCGTGCGTGCGTGCCTGCCTGCCTGCCTGCGTGAGTGTGTGTGTGTAGCTGTCAAATCAGCAGAAAGCTGCAGTGACTCTGTTCCGAAACTATATTTTGTAGTCACATATGCCAGGCTTTGTTGCAATGGGCGACGTCTGTTTGCTTCTCCTGTGCACCTGCACACACCACTACTGCATCTCAATCAAAATCTCTGAACAGATAATCACATCACCTGGTCTGGTAAAGTTATGAATCAGTTGTCGAATTTCTGATTCTGCAGTGCTCGTTAGCCATCCTTCCGCTCCAACTCACTGTGACTAGAACCCTTCATCGGTTTGATTGTTTTCCCCTCTAACACTTACATCCACCCCTCTCCTCGCCTAATTTTGTCAGAAAGACAAACATCTGTAATTCTATTCTGCATTGCTATCACCTGACAACAGTGAATTTGTATGTGATATCAGCCGTGTATTAAAAATTGTAACCATAGCTTTCTCAAGTCTAATATTATGGACACTTGCTAGCATCTCAAAATTGTTGTCAAAACACCTATCTAGTCACTACGGGTTCGCTTATATTCTAGTCATTCCTTGTGGGATGACATTTTTCGTTATTTTGAACCCCATCCTGGCTCTTGCCAGGAGCCGCGATATAGCTCGGCCATAAATATGGTCTAATGGTTATACGCGGTTTCTGGGACTTCTCCACCGGTGATCCTCATCCACATGGTGGCACATTGTGTCATCGGGTGTTTATCGCTTGTGTGATGTCCTGGTGGAGTAAAATGTAGCACTACTACGGGGTGGGGTGAGGGTGAAACAAATCCCTCTAGCGGAAACGGAGAAAGTGGAAAGTAAACAAGAATGAGAGAACGTGGAGATTCTAAGATGTAAAAACGCGTACTAGCTGAAAAAAGTTTCCCGCCATGATAGATCACCCCTTGAAAAATGGATTTCAAAACCTAGCAATAGGACGTTTGAAGACCATAGAGTGATGAATAAAAACTACGAGACCATATTGGGAAGAAAGAAATATTCAACCAGGAAGAACAAAGCCGCAGAACGACAACTCTCTGCTTTATTAAGGAAGAATACCCTTGAAAATGGTTAGTTCGAACACATACAGCTGTGTCGGTACAAAACACAGTTAGAAATGTAAGTGAATGAATCCAAACGGGATACCCAAATAGCATCAGGGATAAGATAAATGTGCCAGTTAGCAAGTGCTGTCATGACTATGACACTGAAACCCAGGCAGTCAATATAGCAACAGAGAAATTCCTGAATACCACCAACCTTGGCTCACAGTCATCGGTGAATTGGCTAAGGCTTTCTCTTGGTGAAAACCTTGTACTGGCAAATGTAAAAGGAGTACTTTGAGAGTCAAAAAACTACTGGAATTGCGTTCTGCTGACAAAACCCAGCTGTCACGTTGCGTCTCAATACAGTGGATACCATCTTATTTATGGAGTGCCCGAAAATGAGAGAGCTGATAACTGGAAAGGGAAGGTGAGACAAGAGAGTAGCTGGGTGTACCAGTCAAAAACCTTTTGGTCAAAAAGTACTATAGAGGATCACGGAATAAACTAAAGAGGATCACTTACCAGTGCCTCCACATCTTATTCCTAGACAATGTATTGATTGGCACTCATAGAAAGATGTAGAACGATAGAAATACACACTATAAAAACAACATAAAAATCAAAAGCTCTAGATACTCTGGAAGAAAGTTTTAATTTTTCGCTTATTTCTGGACTTTGGCCTTGATCCAGAACTTGAGTTTTGCGTGCACATCCATTTTACTACTAATTAGTCGTTTTCTACAACATGCTTGTTAGAGGTAATTATGTTGACGTTGAACTTTTTACTGGCTACTAAAAGCTTTGGAAGACAATACGCCCAGGTTGTGTTCATAGAGCACATAAGTTTGTTGGTTAGTCAGTTAAAGTAACGTTTCCGCCCCAGAAAGGGAGTTACTTCACCAAAACATCTTGAACTGGTCTTAACCACACCCCCTGCTCCAGGTCTACATCCCGCGACTGCATGCAGCCTACATCCCATGACTACATGCAACGTATATCTTAGGTTGCACTCTTTCGTGGGATGTAGGCTGCTCTATCTCGTAGGACGTAGGCTGCACTATCTCGTGGGATGTAGCCTGAAGCTGTGTGGATGGCGGGGGGGGGGGGGGTGAGATATGTCCAATTCTGCATATTTTGGGGCCGTTTAAAGCTCCCACATCGTAGAATTTAGAACACGCGACATCGCCGGCCGCTGACAACAACTAGTAAAATACTACGGGTTGCTGGCCGGTCACTAAGCGTGACACCCCTGCAACATAGGTCAGGCCCTGCGACACGACAAGGCGTGAATGGGAAGGGAAGGTACTCTCTTTCTGGGGTGAAAAACATAACATGTACTTGTTAGTCGACAGGTCATCCTTATTGAATACCGAACTATTCAGCCCATAAGTGATCAGACTCCCTACTCTGTAAATACATCAGCGCGTCACGACCGATGACACCAGTTGTGGGTTTGTTTTTTATTTTCTTTGACTTACTCCATTTGGCACTTCTGTGGCATCATCCCTTTTACCCTGCAGATTCCGCAGTCTGGTCATGGTTGCAGATTCACAACCATCAACTGGTTCTCACAAGTCTTACGTCTAGCAGAGCATTCAGTATATCAGCCTGGTTCATGGCTCGACATCCCTTCACAGCAGCCCTGCCTGCATGCCTATCAGCTTGTTTGTTCCCTTTTAGGATTGCAAGATGCAAGACCTGAACTGAGCTAACTTTCTACCACACCAGGACATCACACAAGCGATAAACACCCGATGACACAAAGTGCCACCATGTGGATGAGGATCACCCGTGAAGAGGTCCCAGAAACCGCGTTCAGCCATTAGACCACATTTATGACCGGGCTATATTGCGGCCACATGGCAAGAGCCAGGGTATGGCTTTAAAATAACAAAAATTGCATCCCTCAAGGAGATGTCTAAGTTCGAACTAGATAAGTATGACCTGGTTCAATAATAAAACTAAGTACTAAGTATTCTCCTTCTTTCATTCGCTAGAAAGAGTTTGTCTTCATCTTCAGTGGTGTCTCTAATGTGAACATCAAAATAATTTTTATTAGCATAAACTCACAAATGATCGAAACAGCTAAATTATTCTGTGAAGGAGTAGTTGGTCTTCTAACAAACGTGCGATGGTTCTAGAAATAAATTATTAAATTCATATTCAAATGATTTTACACCCAGTTGTTAAGACATACCCAAGTTTTCTCATTTTAATTAGGCATGCAAAGAATGACCATTTTGCTTCGCAAGTAGTTAAATTTTGTCAAGACATCTTTATTACCTTGATTGATGTGTCTGATGTGTTCTCGTCATTATAAAATAAAAACCGCAGTGAGTGGCGATGTTTTTTTGATTAATTTATCGATTGTCTTCACTGCCCACAGATTTCCTTCGTAAAAACATTTACATTCAGTCTTTGTTAGTTGGTCTGCCACAAGGGGAGCTGCTTTGCTCACTGTCCCCTCAAATCCGAGAGGAGTCCGGGCCCCGGAGGGCTGACTTACCGCCGTTTACGTCGGAAAGCCTCCATAACTAGCACTTGCAATACTGGATGTTTGCATGTGAAAAAGATTAGAGAATGTGGTGGAAAAGAGGGAGATGAGGCATGAGTGAACTGCCCGCTATGGTAATGGATAGAACATCTTGGCGCAAATTAATTGCAGGCTTATGTTTTTTTATGTCCTGTTTAGGGGGCAAAATGGCGAAGAAGGAGAAAAATTAACAAAGAAAGAAAGAAAGGACAAACAAATTATTATAACCCATTTAGTCCCAGTATGTAGTATACAACTTTTTAAAAAATTTACTCTAGCATAAAATCATGAATGATGATGATGATAAAGATGATGATGATAATGACGATGCTGACGACGTTCAAACCCACAAGGACATCACACCGAGCGATAAAACACCCGGTGACACTATTCGGATATATATATAGGCAGGCCATAAATATGGCCAATTGTCTGAACGCGGTTTCTGGGACCTCTCCACTGTGATCCCCATCCGCATGGTAGCACTTTGTGTCATCGGGTGTTTATCGCTTGTGTGATGTCCTAGTGGGGTAGATAGTCAAGTCAAAGAGCAAAAGAGAACGATTGGGCTTGCAGAATCTCATTAGTCTACAGGAGACATTGCAACGCTGTATATTTAGAGTTAATCATTAAGTCACATGCATATTTTACCATGTAGATAAGATCTTACGGTCATGGTTTACCATCTCACACAGAAAAATTATCTTGTCATCCCATTCTAGGATGCAATTTTTTGTTATCTGAAGCCCTACTCTGGCTCTTACCAGGGGCCGCAAAATAGACCGGCCATAAATATGGTCTAATGGCTGAACGCGGTTTCTGTGACCTCTCCACGGGTGATCCTCATCCACATGGTGGCACTGTGTCATCGAGTGTTTATCGCTTTTTTGGGGTAAAGGAAGATAGAAGATCTCACACCATCACCCTAATCATGGATCATATCTGTATTTTTGCTCTGTGGTCATTACCACTGTGTCCTTCTGTTGCAATCTTGCAATTCCCCTATGTAGACTATGGGCATAGAGAGCACTAGTTGATATTAGTTCACAAAATATTTATGTTTCTGCACTGATACTTTTTAGTATCTGAAAAACCAACCAAGTAGGTTGGTCTAGGGTGCCTACGCTGATGTGCCGCTGGATCTCCCTCGTTGGATGTGCTGCTGACCTCTCGTTTTCCTGCTTATGTACATTGTATGAGTCACCAACATTACAACACCTTCACTTGCTCCTTTCCCACCTAATTTGCCATTTATTACTCATTTAAATTGATCAAGCTTATTATTTTCTACCACCTTACTTTCCGCCCTACAGGAGACTTTTCGTGCCGACTCGTAAACTTCAGCCCGCTTGTATGCGTCATGGCGTCCATCTATTCTATGGTGGCAGTATCCTTCGAAAGAAAGCAAGCCATAGTTGTGACTCAGCACAGAAAGACCACTATGACACAAGCAGTCCTGGTAGTCCCGATTATCTGGCTCCTGTCCCTTATATTTTGTATACCTACAATGTGAGTATTTGTTTTGTATTTTTTTTTTATACTAGACTACATTTATTTGCCCGGAATTCCAGGAAAATTTGACTTGAAAGCTTAACCAAATGTGGAAGCAGCAAAACGTGCACAAAACAACACAAATAACGTAACCTTTCGGCCGGGCAGCCTTTGTCAAACATGAAGTGAACTACACAAAAATAACAACGAGGAGAAAATACAGATCTATAAGGGGTGACGTGAGCAACGTTTTAAAAAATGTGATGTGGAATAAATAAAATAAAATAAAATAAAATAAAAACGATGGCTAAAAAATATAGTCGCAAAAAATAAAAAGTATTATTTTCAATATATAATATAACAGTGGGAATAAAAGAAATACAAATGTTAATGATACATAAATGATACTAATAAGAAATAAAATGAAGTAATAATATAAAAAAAAAAAAAAAAAGAAAACAACATTTAAAACGTAAAAATAGTAACACTGTTTAGATGAAGGTATGTTGGATATTGATACCACCTGGACTAAGAACGCCTAGGTTATGGATGAGGCTATTTTCCAAAGCGAGGCGCGTAGTATGATCGTTAGAGCAAGATTTTAATGCTGTGACACATATCTCATCTTTACCTCTGTGGTCAGAGCTGTTAAAATAGAGAGGGTTGGGTTTAAGTTTCTTCTTGTCAATATCGGAGAGGTGTTCCCGGAAACGATTAGCTAGCTTCAGGTCAGTTTCTCCAATTTATGCCTTGCTGCATCGTTTGCAGATTATTGCAAAATACGTTGCGGGATTCGCAAGTAAAAGGTTCCCTAATTTGGAAAAAACCTTTAGGGAAACTGACCGAAGAAGTCTGGACAACGTCAAGTTATTTACCCAGCACAGCCCGGGATAGTGAAAGAAAGTGTTTTTCTCATCTTGGTCTTCACTGCTGCCGTATATGTCAGAAAATCTCCACAGAGGATGGAACACAACATAAGCCTTCTGTCTTTAAGTTTCTCTTAGGTGCCCTTGTTTCATAAACACGCCAATATCCCATGTCAATGCATGTCTGGTGATTCTCAGAGGTGTCTGTAGCAAACAAATTTTACAGGGTGTGTGAGCTGGCCCCTGAGTCTCGGCCTGTGGTGAAGTGATAGGTGCGTGCTAGACCAGTTCTTCTCATAGTTACCGATGCCGCCACCTTATCGCATCTTTGGTATGATGGGGCAGTTACTCGGGCGTTACTCTGGCTTAAAATTTGCCATGCTGGTAGTCATTCACGTCTGACTTATAAAGCAAAAGCTCCACTAACGCCCCTATCTCACAGTCTATGTTTGAAGGGAGATAATAACGAAATGTAATTTTAAAGTATGTATGAGTTGTAAGAGCAAAAAATTTCAAGGGTTATAACTCCATTTAGAGTTTGCCTTTACCGATTGTCTGAAATTATAATGAGGGCACTGGTAACACTACAAAATATTCCAGTACTCTGCTGCTCGAGACGGGTAAGGCATCTATACAGAGAAATGGCTTCTGTCAGGTGTGAGTTTATTCGATCAGGTGCCATCTCCACCAATAAGTCTGGCTACATGGATTTCTAATACTCTCTGTCTCTCGTCTTGATTGCACACTCTGTCAGACTTCTGTTCGTTCTCAAATTAGATGATCCAATTTCGTCCTTCTTAGGACGAAATTTTTTGTCATTTGAAGCCCTACTCTGGCTTTTGCCAGGGGCCGCAATATAGGCAGGCCATACGTATGGCTAGTTGTCTGAACGCGGTTTCTGGGACCTCTCCACGGCGATCCTCATCCGCATGGTGGCACTTTGTGTCATCGGGTGTTTATCGCTTGTGTGATGTCCTCGTGGGGTAGAAAGTCAGTCAGTCAGTCTGTTCGTTCTGACTACATTCATATTATCCACCGTCCTTGAAAAGATGAAATGTTTCGTTATTTGAAGCACAACTCTGGCTGTTGACGTGGGCCGCAATACAGCCAACCATAAATATGGCTTAATGGCTGGACGCGGTTTTTGGGACCTCTCCACCGTGTTCCTCGACTACATGGTGGCACATTGTGTCATCGGGTGTTTATCGATCGCTTGTGTGATGTCCTGGTGGGGTAGAAAGTCAGTCAGACTTCTGCTCGTCCTGACTACATTCACATTATCCACAGTCCTTTTTAGGATGAAATTTTTTTGTTATTTGAAGCCCCACCCTGGCTTTTGCCGGTAGCCACAATATAGCCTGGCCATAAATATGGCTGAATGTGGTTTCTGGGACCTCTCCAAGGTGATCCTCATCCAAATTGTGGCACATTGTGTCATCGGGTGTTTATCGCTTGTGTTATGTCCTGGGGGGGGGGGGGAGGGGTAGAAAGTATGCCCGTCCGTCCTCGTCCTGATAATCATAAACCAATTATCTCCTTGTGGAATGCAATTTTTCAATATTTTGCAGCCCCATCTTAGCTCTTGCCAGGGGCCTCAGTATAGCATGGCCATAAATATGGTCTAGTGGCTGAACACGGTTTCCGGGAATTCTCTACGGGTATTCTCATTCACGTGGTGGAACTTTGTGTCATCGAGTGTTTATCGCTTGTGTGATGTCCTAGTGGGGTAAAATGTACTACTTCTCGTCCTTGTTATTTTTTTTTTTTTAATGAAGTCCCCATGTAGGATGCAATTTTTTGTTTTGTTTTTGAAGCCCCACACTGACACCTTTGCTTCTAAATGTTTGTTCTTTTTTGTATCCCTGTTCTCAAGGGGTGGGGGGTTGTGGGTAGGTGGTGTGTTCAGTATCACACCGGGCGGTTTTACTTTCCAGAAACTGTCTTTATACCTGTCACATTCTGTTCGTGTCAACCCTTAAACTTAGTCATATTTTGTGCACCTGCAGTTCTCGGCAAGAAGCGGCGAATCTCCACAAACTTCGTCTGAGCTTATCATTACTTTTCACCAGAATTAAGTGAAGGCAAGAGAGACAGTAAGACAACGTAGACAGACTAAACAGACAGACAGTCAGACAAGGTAGACAGATATACAGGCAATGCAAAGAGACAGACAGGCAAAAAAACAGACAAACAAGGCACGCACATTAGACGAAAAAGACGAACACGGCAGGCAGAAAGATAGACAAACAGATAAGGCAGACAAATGCACAAGACAAATAGACAAGAAAAGCGAAAAGACATACAGACCGACAAGGTAGGCAAACAGGTAGGCAGACAGACAGACAGACAGGCAGGCAGACAGACACTCAATGTGAAGACAAAATGCAATTAATTTACTGCACCTTATAAAAGTTTGTCCCAAAACTTAGACCTGAAGCTTTCCGAGACGTCCTCGCCACACAATTTAATCCAACGCAAGTATCGCAAATATGGGGTGTTCTTCCACACTCGCGTCACTCAAGTGTGCAGCATTGGTATCTAGAACCCCGGCATCAAGAACTGCAGTGAAGAAGTAATTATTTAGAAGAAAGTACAGAAGATTCCACATCTCCATCCAGTAAGTCGGTGAAATTACTCAAGAAAAGGTCAGGAAGGTGAAATGAACATACACACATCCAAGAAGATAGACAACCAACTAAACATCCATCAGTCAGTAGAACGTCCCTATCTAGAGCATGTTTGCTGCGTCGACGGCCGGGTCTAGCCAGTTCTGGAGCTGTCAGGGCGAGTAGTGCATGTCTGTATGAAGAGCTACGTTGTCATGCTTTGTTACGTGCGGGGTATGTCGCGTACATATACGGGGCATGTGCTAACCGTTCTGCCAGTCTTCAGCGCTGGTGAGTGGCTTTGGTCGGGCCCTTTTCAGGGCCATCTAAATATATTACCCTTTTATGGTTATACAAATTCTATTGTTTCTCTTTTTCTTTTTTAATTGCTTTTTTTTAAAAATATATAAACACTCTTAAATGCTCATTTAAAATTCATAGGTTTAATTTGTGTCTTTTCAGTTTCATAAAGTTACATATTGTTTTTTCAGATTATCGTAATATCTTCAATATATATTTATCACTTGATAATAACTTCAGTTTTACTTCACTACCTTTGTTTCCAATCTACACAATGTGCCATTATATTAAAATTCTCAAAACATGTTGATGTTTGCTTTCCATTTTTTTTTTTTAATTTACTGTTAGTGTTTTTCTTTCTCTCATTGTGTGTGTGCGTGCGTGCGCACGCGCGTGTGTGTGTGAGTGCTGATCCACTGATTTGAGAACCAACACCATAGCACACGTCATTCCTCTCATACGTCCTTCTTTGCTGGATCAACAGCTACCTAATTACTCGTTTACACACTCGTACACATATTGTTGCATCTAACTTCGTGTCTTCTGTTAGCATTCGTTCACAAATGGTCTTTGCAGAACCAACTGAGAATCAGACCCTTCTATTCCTCTGCTAACTCTGTCCACTTGCAACAAAGCTGCAGTGATTGCCTCCACCTGCATTCTTATGCTTGAAGTTGTTGATAACATGAAAAATACACACACACACACTTTATACTATATGCAGATGAGACATTCCTTCTTTCAAACAATGTAAGGGAATAAAACATTTAAATTATGTATTCTTTTCTTGAATTTAAAATCACCCACAAATAAGAATAAATGATGAAACGAGTGAAAGTGAAATTTTCAATATCTAGGCTCTGTAATAAATAGCAATGAGGACTGCTCGACAGAAATCAAAAGAAGGATGACCATAACAATGCAAAGATTAAACAGCATTAAAAGTCTATAGTTTAGCACAAGCAAGGAGATCAAAATTAAAGTCTGAGAGCATGCATCACCCCTGTAACAACACACGGATGTGAGTCGTGGATTATCTCCCAGTCTTTAAGAAGGGAAATGAGGTAATTGAGCTGAAATGCTGTGTAGAACGATTATCAGAATACCACGGGCAAAGAAGAAGAGAAATACTGACATGACAAAAGATCTGAACATCAAGGACGATTGGCTAATAAAAAGCATCTTGTCTCGGAAACAAATATTGTGGTCATATAAAGCTCCATGGCGGATTGGGAAACAAAAAATA